GTGTACATATATCTTCAGGACCCTGCTTTCAATTCTTTTGGATACATATGCAGAAGTGGAATTACTAGATCATATGATAGGTCTGTTTTTAATTCTCTGAGGAACTGCCATACTGTTTTCTATACTGGCTGCACTATTTCACATGTCCACCAACAGGGCACAAGGGTTCCGATTTCTCCATACCCTTGATCAACATTTATTTCTAGCTTCGTTTTTGGTAGTAACCATCATTATGAGTGTGATGATCTCATTGTGGTTTTGATTCGCATTTTCCTTATGATAACGTCAAGCACCTTTTCATGTTTTGTGCCATGCATACGTCTTTGAAGAAATGTCTACTCATCCTCTGCCTATTTTCGAATTGTTATTCGTCTTTTTCTTATTGAATTATAAGAGTTCTTTATATGTACTGGCTGCAAATTACTTATCAGATACAGTCATATCTCACTTTATTGTGCTTTCCTTTATTGTACTTCACAGATGTTGCGTTTTTTTGTTTGTTTGTTTGTTTGTTTTTAACAAACTGTAGGTTTGCGGTCAGCCTGAATGGAGCAAGTCTATCAGTGCCATTTCTCCAACAGTATTTGCTCACTTTGTGTCTCAGTTTGGTAATTCTTGCACTATTTCAGACTTTTTCATTATTACATTTGTTCTGGTGACCTATGTTCAGTGATTTTGATGTTACTATTGTAATTGTTTGGGGTGCTACAAACCACACCCATGTAAGACGGCAAACTTAATATGCGTGTTCTCATTTCTCCAGATGGCAAACTTAATATGCGTGTTCTCATTTCTCCATTGATCAAACATTCCCCTGTCTCTCTCCCTCTTCTCGGGTCTCCCTATTCCCTGAGACACAACAATATTGAAATTAGACCAATTAATGATCCAAGAGTGGCCTCTAAGCGTTCAGCTGAAAGGGTCACATATCTCTCACTTTATTTTTATTTTTATTTTTTTAATTTATATTTTTCAATTAGAGTTGACATTCAGTATTGTTTTATATTAGTTTCAGATGTACAGCGTAGTGGTCAGACATTTATATAATTTACAAAGTGATCTCCCAATTAGTCTAGTCCCCACCTGACACTATCCATAGCTATTACAGTATTATTGACCGTATTCCCCATGTTGTGCTTCACATCCCCGTGGCTATTTTGGAATTACCAATTTGTACTTCTTCATCCTTCACCTTCTTCAACCTTTCCCCCAACCCCCTCCCCATCTGGCAGTCACCAGTTTGTTCTATGTATCTGGGAGTCCGTTTTCATTTCGTTTGTGCATTTATTTTGTTCCTTAGATTCCACATACACAAGAAATCATATGGTGTTTGTCTTTCTCTGTCTTATTCACTTAGCATAATACCCTCCTGGTCCATCCACGTTGTTGCAAATAGTAAGATTTTGTGTTTGTGTGTGTGTGTGTGTGTGTGTGTGTGTGTATATATATTTTAGGGCTGAGTAGCAGTCCATTGTATGTATATACCACAACTTTTTTATCTAATCTATTGATTGGCACTTGGGTTGCTTCTATATCTTGGCCGCTGTAAATAGCACTGCAGCGAACATAGGGGTGCATAGATCTTTTTAAATGAGCGTTTTGACTTTCTTTGGGTAAATACCCAGAAGTGGAATTGCTGGGTCATAAGATAGTTCTGTTTTTAATTTTTTGAGGCACCTCTAAACTTTTCCATAGTGACTGTACAAATTTACAATCTCATCAAAAGGGCACGAGGATTCCCTTTTCTTCACATCCTCACCAACACTTGTTTTTTGATTTATTGCTGATAGCCATTTTGGCAGGTATGAGGTGATGCCTCTTTGTGGTTTTAATTTTCATTTCTCTGATAATCATGTTGATCATCTTTTCATGTCTGTTGGCCATCTGTGTGTCCATTTTGGAAAAATGTGTATTCTTGTCCTTTGCCCATTTTTTAATTGGATTGTTTATTTTTTTTTTTTAGTGTTGAGTTTTATGAGTTTTTTATAAATTTTGGATCTTAACCCCTTATCAGATGTATCATTGGCAAATACCTTCTATTCAGTAGGTCGTCTTTTCGTTTTGTTGATGGTTTCCTTTCTGTGCAAAACCTTTTTAGTTTGATGTAGTCCCACTTGTTTATTTTTTCTTTTGTTTCCCTTGCCCGAGGAGATACATCAGAAAAAATATTACTAAGAGCAGGGTCAGCGAGTTCACTGTCTGTGTTTTCTAGGAGTTTTGTGGTCTCAGGTCTTACATTTAAGTCTTTAATCTATTTTGAGTTTATTCTCGTATGTGATGTGGGAAGCTGGTGGAGGTGACCTTACTTCTGGTCAAACAGACTTGTTGCTGTTCATCCCTGTGATGAACACCCCACTCTCCCGGGCGGACAGGCTCGGAGTTGCGCTGGGAATTGGATGAACTAAGGCTGCGTTCCCTTCAGCGTCTCTTGTTGAAATTCTCTGCTTTGTTCTACTCTCCCCCGTTTCTTGAATCTTGTTCTGAAGTTTTACACTGGGTGATGCACCGGAGTAAGATTCCAGGCGGTGAGAGGCGGGTCTTTCTTTCGTACAGAGAG